GGGGGAGCGGGGCGCACGTGCGCGCAGCCCTCCGTCCCCGCCGCCCCTCGGCACAGCGCCGGCCCGCGCGCCCCGAGCCTCTGCTCTTCTTCCCTCCTCCCTTGCCTGGCGGACCCGTCCGTCCGTCCTGTGCGAGCTCGCCGGGTCTCCCCTGTGTCCTCGCCTTCTCGGCCGTCTCGTTTCCAGGCCTTCGGCCCCTCAGGTCGCTGCCTGCTCCCACCCACCCGCGTCCCGTCCCCGTCCCCGCGCCCCGGTCGGTGCGTCGGTCCCGGGTCGGGGTCCCTTCTGCCTCCAGCCGGGGCTGCGTCCCTGGCGGCCGCTCGCCCGCGCGGCGGATCCCGCGTTCCTGGGAGCCGCGCTTTCCTCGGTCCCCTGCACCGCGGCGAGGTCCGGGACCGAGCAGCCCCGGGTGTCGGTGAGAAAGCCGCGGGGAGCTCCTTGCCGGCCTCCTCCCGGAGCGCTCGGACCGGCGGGACCCCGCGGCCGCCTCGAAAGGTGCGGGCTCCCCCGAGAGCACAAAGGCTCGCCGGGCGGCGGGACAGACTGGGGGAGTCCTCCAAACTCACTTGCAGACGCCCCTGATGGAACTGTACTGAGTCGATGCCGAGGAATCTCTGTTCTTAACGTGCATTTGTAGGGTCCCGGGGCGACTTTCCTAAGTTTTGTTTTGGGGAAGCTGTGGAATATGTCCTGTGTCAACTGGGGCGTTTGCATTTGAGAAACTGCTGCGCCTTTGTACTTTTATGCGTCTTTACACTCTAGCGATCAAGCAGAATTATTTCTAACTGCAAAGAAAATAAGAAAGGATTTGTCAGTACTTTTAAAACATGAAACATCCCAAGGATCAGTAATTTCTTTGGAAAACTCTCATTATAAGGATGTTTTGAAGGATATTACATCTTAGTGAAATAGGCAAGTTATTGCACACTCCGGGCATTGTACTGTGCAGAAGGGTGTTGCAAGCAGATCATAGTAATAATGGCTTTTTATGGGAAGCATAGCTGGGAAATTAAGTGCGCAGATTTTCACAGTTTTCTTTAGTCCTGCATAATGTACCTTTGTTTTTAGCAAAATATGGCCTAGGGCTACAAAATTCGATACAGTGTGTTATTTGTCTAATCTGAATTACCATTTAGAAAACCACCTTTTCCTTTGGGTCACATGATACAAGTTGATATGATCTCATTACTCCTGTGCTAGGGCCTGCCGGTGAATTTTAGTGGCACTGGTTTGTGATGTTAAATCCGAATGTTAGTTTTGGTGAGTTAAAGATCTTGATTTATGTCATGTTAGTGACTCATCGCTGTTCGCAGGGGCCTCGCTGCCTTGTGTGCCAGGTGCTGTCGCGTTCGGTCCGGGGAAGGCTGTCCTAGACGCCCTGAGAGATGCTTGTCCCTGAGCGCCGTTGCCACCGCTCATGCATGTGTGTAATCGCCTCCCACATGCTCCAGTCGTTAAATAATATTTATTAAAAGGAAATCGACTTAATTTTTCCTCATAAACTTTGAAAACTGTGAGGCAGCCTGATAAAGTGTTTTTATTACAGTAAATGCTGATTTTATTATTTGCTTAAGAATGTAAGGCAGGTTAAGCGTGTAAGGCAGTTTAAAACGTGGCTGTCTCTTGGTCCTGTGGCACCTCCCTCCCAGCTTCCTGAGCGCCGGCCCCCTGTGCCCAGCACGGCCTGCCATACTTGTCAGCAGTCCCTTGTGTCAGCCCGGCTTCCGGTGCTCCTGTTCTAGTGCTCAGCTCGCTCTGGAGTAACTGCTTGCTTAGCTTTCCTTGCCTTGCTGTTGTTTCTTTGAGGCGACAGTGTGTCTTTTTCTTCCGTAGTATTTTTGAGTTTCAGGTGCCTAGCACCATGCCTGATATATGGTACATACTGAAGAAAATCCTTCAAAGACAGTGGATTCTCTTTCAGTTTATAACTTGTGACGCAGCTTCTTGGTAATTGCAGTGGGTCAAGGAAGCTGTGTTAGGGTGGACAACAGCAGAGCACAGATTCAGGAATGAAAGAGTTGTAGAGAGCGTCTCCTCGCACTTCTACATGATTGAGGGGAAGAGGCCGAGCTTTGAAAACCGTGCGCGGAAAGAGTGAAGTGCACTGGCTTTGGAATTGAGTCCTCCTTCTCTTCTCATTGCACTGCAGCAACTCTTGTAACTGACTCAGCCTTGCTTTCTTTCACTCAATTGGGCAAATCTGTCTATAATTAGAAGCTAGCAATTAAAGTGTAAACTCCTCAGATTTATTTTCTTGCCTACCAGTTGAAGCCATGAAAGTTACTAATTTGTAATAACTGGTAATCACTTATGTTACATACACTTGTAGATAATATTTACCTTTCAGAGCATGGACTTCTGAGCTGCTTTTGTGTGGTAGGTATTGTTCTGGGTCCTGTTATTTTAGGCACAGGAATTATTTTTACCTGCAAAGATTTATGCTCACTAGGCTTACAGTCTGACCTCTATAACTTTTGGTATGTGTTAAAGGCAGACAAAGAAAGAGGAAAAAAATTGGGGGCCAGATTAATGGCTTCTTTTGATTTTTTTTAGCGATTAACAGTTTAATTTGAGAATAGGGACAAACTTATCTGTTTTACACCCATGTTCCCTGTAAACTTCTACTTGGTAAAAGAAGACAGAAACTACTTCACTTGGTGTTTTTCTAGTGTCCTACCTAGTTCTTAAACTTCATAGTCAAGATAGTTTTTAGTTTTTCAATATAAATATTTGGAGGATGTTTAATAAAATACTGAGTGAAAGGGAACTGATTTTGCTTGAGAGACAGTAATTTTGGGCTTCCATAAGCTGCATTTGACATGGTGACAGAAATTGAAGTAGCAGTGTTGAGCTGTAAATAGGAATTCAGGGAAGAGAGGGCCCAGGACCAGAAGTGTAGATTTAGAAGACATTTCCATTGAACTAATATTGAGGGCAAATAAAATTATTTAGGGGTGGAGTCTGGAGAGAGAAATATATATATATATATATACATACACATATATATATATACACACACACACATATATATGAGAGAGAGAGAGAGAGACTTAAGAGCAGATGGGACATTTTGGTGTTATTTCAGTATTCCTTAAAGTTTATCTGTGGTAATAATATAGAAAGGATGACACATAGTTTACATCACACAGCATGTTGTTTTGCTAATTCTCAGGCTGTCCACTAATTTGTACAACAGTGCTTGCAGAGCTCCCCTGCCTGGCACCACTGTATGCTACGGAAGGCTGCATCCATGCGGCACGAGGGCCTTGCTGTTGCTGCATTTATGTTCTAGAGTGTGAGCAGTGGATGACCAGAAGCATGTCCCACCGCGAACACCGCCAGTAGGAAAATCAGAGAGGGTCGCCCAGGAGTGAGTGAAGGACTTACTCTGTGTGATGGGTGAGGAACCTTCCTTTAAGGGTGCTCCCACGGAGGAGAAAGCCAGCTTTCTGGAGACGTGAGAGGACTCGGTGGCAGAAGAATCTGGGCACACACTGTCCAGGCTGGTGGGACTAAGCAGCTAGGGGAAATGGCAGGAATGGGATAGGGGGAGCGATGGAGAGATGGGGAGATGGAGAGACAGAGAGAGAGACAGACAGAGCAACCCAGGGCCGAGGTCTGAAGCATGGGTTTCACTCTAAGTACATTTTATTGAGTGGCCTGGTGAATTTTAAGCAGATGTGAACAGTGTAACTTCACATGTCTGTGGTATGAGCAAGAGTCTGAAGCGAGACCATGTGGGGGGCCGTGGGAGGCTGAGCGGATGATGTGGCTGAGCTGGTCAAGGGTGGAGCCAGGAGAGACTGATCACTGTCTTTGTCACTTTGTAAAATGATCACTGACTGAGTCATCCTGTGTGCCCTGAGGTACAGTGCAGCAGTTCTCTGGTTCAATGGTTGCTTTAAATGTCAGGCCTCAGCGCCTTCTTACTGTTCCCACACACGACCTTCTTATTCTCCACCCTTCTCCTGGGCTGCAAGCCTCTTGCTGTGGGAATCCGCAGCAGGTCTTGGTAAGCGTTGTGCTGAGTTCTTGGGGGTGAGAGAGGTCTCTGGGCCAAACTGGTGCTTGGGTCTGTCCGCACCAAGAGGTAGATCTTAGGAAAATCCCGTCACTGTATATGGTCTAGTGTGGCTAAACATGAACAACTGCACAGTAGCTGGTTTTGAGAAAAAGAACTGATGATAATTTAATCCCTTTTAAAGGTGGTTGCAAAGTGTTAAAGTTAGATAAAACTCCCTGATTTCAGTTAAGAGATTAATTAAGCACCATCATTATGGACTTTCTAAGAATCATTGTGGATTCATTAGTTATCAAATTAATGAGTGACAAGTTTCTGAACTGAAGTCCATATCTATCTAACTGCTATAAAAAGTCCATATCCATCTAGCTGGAGAGCAGACTCGATCCAGCACCTCTTGATGTTAGGTAAGGGCTGTGTCCAGGTGGTCTGCCTCGAGAAGGGAGGAAGCGAGGTGGGCAGGAACCTCTGACTAGTGTGAGTGCCGTGTAGCCTCAGCTTTGAAAGCTGGATGCTTCCTGAAAGATATCACTGGGCAGTCCGCATTGTCCCACCGGGCAAACCCAGCTGCTGGCCAAGAGTGAGCGCAGCGCCCATGGTATGTAGGTAGTTGTTGAATGCTGCTGGATATTTAATTTAGCTGATTTTCTTTTCCTTGGCTTTCAACAGGTATATGACTGCAGCTTTAGAAGGTATTATTTAAAAAGTTCAGAAATGATTTTCTGGCAATTAAAGAAAAAATACAGTCCAATATATATCTTTATGACATTTTTTGACTGGCTGTCTTGAGATAAACATTTTAGCTATTTTTATAGGAGTTAGATATGGATTTAAACAAGTTCAGGAACACCTGTCACTCGTTAATTTGATGACTAATGATCCCACAGTGATTCCTAGGAAGTCTGTAATGGTGGTGCCTTTATCTAATCTCTTGATTGAAATCGGGGAGTTTTATCTAATTTTCACACTTTACCTTTAAAAGTCACTAAATTATCATCAGTTCTTTTTCTGGAAATAAACTACTGTTCAGTTGGTCAGTGCACCTTTAGCCCCAATAGTCCGTACAGTGGTGGGATTTTCAGGACGTAGTGCAGTGCTCAAATGGGCTTGCAAGCTGTGTGCAATCGCATATATATTATATATTTATAGCAGTTCTCTCCCACTGTTTCTCTTGATCCTTTTCAGCTAGCCCAGAATCCCTCTGTGTCTTTACAGTCTCTCTTTCTGGTTTACCCTATTCTCCTGGAACTCTGTTATTCCTGTTGGCTTCTGTGTCAGGTGTCTTCTGCTTGCCTCTCCAGGTCTGCTCTGAGCCCTTCTACCTCATGCTCTGCCCAGAAGGAGCACCTGGATGAGCTGCCCTCATTTTCGGAAGACTCTGGGGAGCCCTGCAGGAGAGTCAGAGCGGTGTGGAGAGTGAAGGTATTTATTCTCTTTGGTCTTTTGCTGCTGGTTCATCACCTTGTGCCGCCTTAGTCCTTGCACTGGACGTCCCTGCTTCTCCCAAGGTGGCCTCGGTAAGACTCCCTTCCCAACCACAGTACTCTCTGGAAAGCTGCTTTGCTAACCCAGATCGACTGAATTGCCCTTGGGATTCTTTTACAGTCCTTCTCACACCTTATTAATGTTTTGATTGTAAAGAAGCCCTCATTAGTGTATCAGGAGCTGTGTCAGCTATGGCCCCATATTCTGTTGCTTCACATTCTGAAATCTCCTTCTGTGATCTTATTGGACTGATGAGAGCAGTCGGCCTCCCTGTACTCTGTTGGACATCTGCTTTCCATCCTAAATTGAATGCTTCTCTCTGAGACAATAGGCTGTGAACATAAGTTGTTATTATATAAATATTTACTGTCAACCAGTTTATTGATTTGATCTTTTTATGTGATAGTCCATATACCTTCTACTTTGTGTGCATACACATAATATATACTATATAATATTTATATATGTATATATATTTTTTGAGACAGTCTCACTTGTAGTTTCGGCTGGCTTTGAACTGGCTAGCCCAAGCTGGCATCAGTCTTGAGGTGATCCTCCTGTCTCAGCCTCTCTAGTCCTGGGACTATAGGCACCCCCTTTCCCTTCCATGCATATTTTTAGTCACTGTTTAGGGCCAGGCACTATGTTAGGCATTGTGGATACAAAAAAAGCAGATTTTTGTTCTTATTTCAGATGTGGATTGGGAAGGGGAGGTCGGAAATAAACAACCATACATGACATTTACAAATCAGGTTTGCGATGAGAGTTAAAAGGAACTGAGAAGGGTGAAGTGGAAATGCAGTGGAAGGACTGTCATTGTGTGATGTCATTGTGTGATGTCATTGTGTGGCCTTCCATGCAGCTCCAGGCAGGGGCACACCCCAGGGCTCTCATTAACTGCATCTGTTATTCAGGGTCTTAATATGTAAATTTTACTTTTCCCAAAGACACATATAACAAATCTTAACAGGAAAATCAGAAACAAATTGCTTTATAGCATTTTCTAAAATTTATACATATATATATTCTTGTGCATATGTACTTTTAAACAATGAAAAGGTCTCCTGTTACTATAACTTATTTTTCATTTAACTATGGGTTGGTACAACCGTGAGAGATCAATGCACTTTGAAACATTTGATGTAGAATCTGATAATTGAAGACTACAAAGTTCTTCATTTTTTTAGTGGTTATGTTTATTAGGATTTTAAAAAAAGTATGCTATGTACGAAGAAGCAAATTACAATGGTCAGTAATGCACCACACATGCAACTCTGGAAGCGAGGAATCAGAGTATGAAAACTGTGTAAGTCTTTTAGATCTTTTTTTTTTGTGTCTTTTTGAGACAGGGTTCCACTATGCAGTTCAGGCTGGCCTTGAAGTCACTTTGTAGCCCAGGCTGACCTCGAACTCACAGCAATACTCCTGCCTTAGGCTCCTGAGTGCTGGGATTACGGGTATGCGCCAATGAGCCCAGCTAGATCTTTATTTCATCAAAATTCTTCGAATTATGATGTTTAATAAAATTAGTTTAATGACAGGGAAAGCAATTTAGTCTAATTTCTTGTTTGCTAATTATATTCTGAATTTCCTTAGGCCTGCCTTAACACCATTTTTAGTTATTTCTACCTTCTTAAGGATTAAGTGAAATGTTGGGGTTTGAGGTAATAAGGGCTGTTTGAGCAGTCCAGATAAGGAATTTACGTAGAGCAGTATGTTTTTAGTTGACTGCCTTTGACTGTGGCTGTCAGGGTGCAGCCGTGCATCCATGGCAGCGGTGTAGCCTCTGGTTACTGTGGGCTCTGGAGTTGGGGTTTGAATCTGGTCTTACCACTTTCTAGCCCTGAGACCTGAACCAGCACCTGACCCTTCTGTGCTTCTGCCTTATCATCTGTAAAATGGAAATCAATAATAGTATTTGCTTCATAGGGCTGCGTGAAGTATTTGCAGGAGTATTTACAAGGTGTTGAGAAAAATGACAGGCACATAGTAAACCTGCAGAAATGTGTAGTAAGTTGGTAAATGAATGGTCGAGGAAATCTGAGGATTGTTGACACTTTTAAACCACAGACTTTTCTGAGCTCTTATTCCACTGTGCATTTGACAGGCCTCAAAAGGGGTATTTGCCTGTGGAACATGTATCTTTCCTTGTATATACCATCAGACTGATGTTTATCTGAACACACTTCGGGGGAAATGTGTATGTATTCTAGATGACCAAACATTTTCAAGAGCTTATGCTGCAAGGAAGAGATCATTGTTACTGCTAGGACTTGTTCTTATACCAGTTACACTTGGTATAAAGTAGACCCCCAGTTTCTGATTTTCTTAAATGATTTTAAGGCAGAAATGAACGTTTTTCTTCTTTACCTAGAGAAAGACATCCATCCAATATACATGTATATATCTGTGGGTCCCTGCAGCTCCCTAAGTGTAAGATTCACAGTATATATTTTCTTAAAAAGCTACTTACTATTTTTTTCTTATTGTAAGGAATACATATTCATTGAATGAAACATAGGGAACTGTAAAAATAGAAGCACTTTTACAACAAAACAAAAATAGCCAACATTTACATTTTGGGATATTTTTTCTCTATAAAATTTGGAGCATAATATAATGTGGTTTTGGGTCCTTTCTTTTTCACTTGACTTTATTTATATAATATTCTCAATCCAAGACATGCAGTGATTTCTGGTCTTCATGTGATTAGTAATCTACATTTCAAAAGAGCTAGCTTCCTTACTTAGCAAATTCTGAAGCCAGAGACACTATGAAAATAAAATGGTGTATCTAGAATGAGTTTCTCCCTCATTTTAAGTATCCTTGGAAATTGGAACCACCTGGTAAGTGGTTGGCAGTTCTGTTTAAAAGACCTGGAGTAGGTGACCTCAGGTTGCTTCATTTTTATGAGTCATTCCAGTGTGCAAGCCAGCAGCCAGATGGACTGAGAAGAATCCATGACCAGGCTGTTTGCAAGCATTACTTAACTGGGGCGGCTAGGATGAATTTATGTAATATTGAGATTAGCTAGGAAAATTATTCAGGGAAACCTGGGTTTTTCCAAAATAAGTTTAACTGTTCTTTATCTTTTAAGTGATAAATCATGTACCCTGCATTGTGTGTTTGAGGCAGGATTCTGATAATACTCTAATGGAAGCAATAAATATGGTCTCTAAATGTTTTATCCTATAATTTATAGGAGAAAAATTACATTGAATTTATATGACAGTGCATAATATAAAGACTTTAGACATTGTAATTGTTATTGGTTTTTGCTTTGGTATTTCATAAATGATGGCGGCTGTGTAGTTAAATATACCTGCTCCATAGTCAGAAGTCTTTATTCAACAATTTTGTGTCTTCACCTCACTAGAGATTAAATCAACCACTTCTTTAAATACTTATCTTTAACATCTGTAGCAAATGAAAATATTGTAGCCCTCTCTGAAGAGGAAAACCATACTACATTGTTTAATTGAATTAAATGAGCTTTTTGAGGGAAATTCACCTAGGAGCTGTTTCTGGAACCAATTTGGAAAATGATCTTGGTATTCTGCTGCACTTAAGTTTGATTATGTTTTTCTTAGGAAGTCTCAGTGGACCCAGTTCACTCCTTGCTTCAGTCATCAAACCCTTGCAATTTTTGTAGGCAAATTAGGCATTTCCTACTTCACAATTATGTGCATCTGTAGAAATGGATGCTTCTTCCTCACATGTAGATGCGATAAATTCTTAATTCTATAACATAGTAAAATAATTTGAATATTTATATTTTAGTGTCCACTGGCGTATCTTAAAGCTGAAGTAAACAGCCATATATCAATTAAATTCTTCCAAAAACGTCTTGTAGATGTAACTTGTGCATGTTTACTGCTGAAAGTGAGTGCCAGTGTTTGTAAAAAGGCACCTCGTGCAGACCTGTCCACTGCCTGGACTTGCTCTGTGCTTCAGGCCCAGAACGACTTGGTGCACCGCACTTCCTGCACTCTTAATTGCAATCTGTTGTTTTAGGAAGTCATGAAGAAATGTAAAATTGCTTTAAAAAAACCCCACAATTTTCAAGTTTTTTAGCTGTAAATTTATCCATTCTGATCAATAGCATGGGATATATTTTGTATACTTGCTATAGGGACTGTGGATTACTTTCTTAAGTAATTCAGATTTAGCAAAGATAAAGCTAACCATCTCCTTTTAAGAAATCTCTGTTATATGTACCACATCCTGAATTTAGAATTGCAGTTGGTTTTCCTTGAAGTCCTGGGACGTAGAACACTTGCTTGTACTCTCTTGCACTGTCTGCCTTCCTCCTCCCCCTCCTTTCCTCTTTTTGTCTCTCTCACTTTTGCACTGGACTTGAAAACATTATTTTCTGAGTGCCTTTTTTGAGCTAGAGAGTTAAAACACACTAATTTCTGCCCTGAAAACCCTGAATATTTCTTTACTAGCTGTACCACCATCTGACTAGAGTAATGGAATGTTGATTTGCCACTTTATAGACATAATCTTAAAATATTCTAATAATGTTCTACACTAATAACAGCAAGATGCACTTCAGTTTTGTTATGAAATCACTTGCTTTATTATGTAATTTCACTCAAAATGTTTTTGTAAAGTGTTCACATTTTAAATATTTAAAGAAAATGTGTTCCTCTGGCCCAAAAAGCTTACAATGGTAGGAACATATACTGTAAAAGTATTTTGTAGGTATTATATAGGTCTACATAATTTTCATTTTTGTAGAGAATCTTTTTGATATATATATATAAAAGTCTGATATGTTTGATATATATAAAAGTCTGTAATTACGTAACTTTTCATCAAAACCTCCTTCTCTCTTATTTGAAATTTCATGCGTGTATACCTGTGCTTTGAAAGTTGTTACTATGCGTTCTTAAACATTTTTTTTTAAAACTTGCTAGCATGTACCCGGGTTT